ATTGATGTTCACAATTCTGCGAATGATATTGTTTCTAAAGATGTGATATATGAATGATATATGTAATAAATGATTTATATATACATTGTATATATACTCAACAAAAAAAGAAACGCATAATCAGATTTAACATGATAATCTAAGTTTTCAGTTTAATCCTTATTTTTTTAAAAGTGAATTTTGAGGGTTTTGATAAAAATCAAACATGTCCTGTTTTGCGAGTAGAAGTGAAGTCTATGTCAGTGTCGACGCCTCCAAAGTCTTGGGGCATACGTCTAAAACAGTCCATATGTCCTTTGCGACGTTTAAGCGCTGGTGGATTTCCAATATACGGATATTGTGCACAAATACCAGCTCCTATCAGTCTTTTGCGAACAATTTATGCACTTTTATGCTGATTTTTTCATCCAGCAATTATAGCAGCAGTTTTTACAGCAATTTTGAATCTCATGAGGTGCTTAAAAAGGGGGGGGGGATCTGACGGTGCTGCCTGGGTGTTGTTACCTGCGGACAGCCAATTATTGGTCTTCTGACGTTAGTTTAACGGCTGCAAAGCCCATTGATGTATTCCAAATGCGGTTGCAACTTCCTGTTGCGTAGCTCCGTTTAGTATCATCGTCAGTCTGGTTGTGTTCATCTTTGTCTCGGCGTGGCATTGCAGTATCTTCACTGCAATCAAATCTTAAATATGGGTTTAATAGGAGTATTAATAGTTTCTTTAAATCCAACATATCAATGAAAATAGACATCCAAGAAGACGGTACAGTTTGAGCTTTATTGTGCCCTAAAAATTTAATGTTCTTAAAGAGTTATAAAATTGGCTTTAACAATAGTTTAGTAGATGAATATGATAAATCATTAAAGAATATGGCATGAAGAAGGGCCATTCTTGAAATATGACGTCATTAATTTGGTATATTTTTAAGTTTAATGCAGAAAAGCTTCAAAATGACTCGTTTTTCTGCTAATTTTCCTTTAGAAAATAGTGTCTGCCACCGTCGCCCGCTTTAATTTTTGGATATATTGTGCAAACTGCTATGAAAAATCACATATGTCAAAATCTTTCCGGGCGACGGTGGCAAAGTATGTTTTCTGAAAGAAATTTCCACTGAAAATTGATGTCTTCTGCAACTTTTTAAGAAAATACGGGAAAATGAACAAGTTAATGACGTAACAATTAGCATTTAGGAAGTCATATGAGAAAAACCATTTGTGTATTCTTACTGCAGAGAATTCCTACGATTCATAAAGAATGAATTTTAATTTTTTATATCACTTTCATATTTTTGAAAAATATAGGGCTTAATTTGTATTGAAACTGTACCTTCTTCAAATATTTAGAAGAAATCATGTAAAACACAACTTTCATAAACACGTTCAATCAAGGGAGATAATTCAACACTGGGGTTTTAAAATCCCTAGTTGTCCTTTAAATAGGTCACAGGTATCCAATGATATGAAAGATAGTTTTTGCATGTACATTTTAAAAATTTCATTGACGATTAAACCAATATACGTTTCTTTTTATGTTGAGTATATATGAAAAAATGTTACATACTTTAACATTTAAAAAAACATTCCTGTTATATATTATTTGAATTTGAAAGAATAAATATTGTTCTCTCCTCGTCACTCAGTGACAGTTAAAATACATGTATTCCCTAATTTCATAAAAGGTTAAACAAAGACGTTTTATGATAAGATATCTAATCATTAGACTAGCTGCAGGACTGTAGCCTTATGGTTTTACATATTAGTCTTTGGCCATACGCTTGATTCGAATTTCCTGCATTCGAATTGACAATTCAAATCAAGCGAGTTTATTGCCTGTAGAGACGACTATAAAGGGCTGGTGGGTGGATAAAACATACAGATTGTTTAAGGAACTACGAATGGAGAGGTACTGAATTGACCAATGCTTGGAAGTATAGAAATCTTTTCCCAACAGTGCGCAAAAATCTTGCATCGTAAATTGCAAATTTTTTTTGTGCATTACAGAATCTGTAAAGATTAATGCAATGTAATCAAAAACATAGCACTACAGTTCTACAGTATCATTAGAGAAACAACATCGAATTTTAATTTGGGAATCGAGCTCATATCATATAAATGTATATGAAAAAAACGGCAATCGAAATTGAAAACAAGGAAAGAGTCAGTATAACAAAGGTATACTTTTAAAATATCAGAAGCAAAATGCAGAGGTAAGAAACTCCTGTTAACAAATTATATCATCCCTTTGCTCTTTCTTAAATAGACAAAGATAGACTTGGGAAGACAGGGAAATTGGTTGTTATTTCAGTATAAAATAAAATAACAGCTCAACAGTTTATATGAACGAAGTCAGTGAACATTAGACAAGATAGAGTTTTCTTAAAAAAGATCTGATAATCAATTCAGAGACTATAAGTTCAGTTCTTCGGAGAAGATTGAGATATATATTGAAAAAGCTTTGAAACAAAAACTAATTGCAGTTGATAATGATAAAGAACAATGTTCCAGCTCAAACGTCCATAAAACAATACAAAAAAGAATCAAAACACGGACGTGGGATCAGGTGCCATGGAGGAGTAGGCATCCCCTGCCGACCGGTCACACCCGCCGTGTGCTCCTTATCATAATCGGGAAAACATAGAAAAATCTGTCGTCAATTCAGTCAAAGACATTGTAACGAGACTGCTTATATTCTAGTTTCATCAACTTTTTTGTTTTGTTTATTTACTTCGTTTTAAAACATAAATGTAGCATTGTCTTGTATATCAAATCAACTGAGGAATATAAAACCCATTTTCAGGTGATGAAGGTATATTGCTGCGTTAGTAAGGAAAGTTGATGTTGAAAAGTAAAGGACCATGTTTATCATAGAGCTTGGTTGAGATTACTATTAATGTCGTTTTTAAGTAAAATATCCAAATATGAAACAGATGTGTTAGACAATGTGGTATTTTTATCCCACGTTAAAGGATTATATCACATCGACATAAGAATAGAAATAGCCACTGTCATTTGACAACACGTCGTCAGTATATCTAAATGTGGAGTTGAAGGCCACAACAAGTTTTTACTTCTGTTCACGCTTAGCATTTAGGACAAATTCAGCTTATTATGAATACAAAAATAGGTTGTTGATAACGGGTCGCCATTGGTGCCCTCGGGGACTCCAATGGATTGTTGGAAGACTTGGTCTCCAAAACCACATAGATATTGTCAATCAGAAACTCAAGTATCCCGTTGATATCAACTTCAGAGTACCTAAGTATTTTTAACAAAATAATTTTGCAAAGGACCAATGGCAAGGTAAATTTACGAAGTTGTCAACGTTATCAATAAGCCTGGGCTTTAATATATCGTGGGGAGTGGTAGTGTATAAAGTTGAAAAGTAGTAAGTTTTTAAAGAATTTTTAAAGACTGTAAACCTGGGAACAAAAGTCTACATAGATATCATGAAGACTGGGTTAGCTTTATTAAAAACAAACATGTATTCAGCCACAGGGATACAGAAAACTTTTTTCTCCTTTTTCCATGATATTTGATTTGTTGTATCTGCATCAATGTATTCCTTAAACGTTATTGCATTCTAAGTTAAATTCAACTAAAAGTTTTATTATTTGTCAAAAAATGCTGTACATGATAAATAATAAAGCAATACAATAATTCTTAGCTAAACTACATCATGGTGACCTCCAATTAATTTTAGATTTCTTTGATGAATAATACACACAAATCTGTGTCAATGCTAATAGTTTTGAAACCCTGGGGCACACTCATCAACGCTTCGACGTCAAAAACATACACTTAGCTTCGTATGTTTCTAAAGAAAAAATTCTGACAGTATGACCAAATACCAATTCATAAAAAATGCTAGGCACTTCAAATTATTTTTTCCAGCAATTTCTAGCATTTGTTTCATTTCTTTTGCCGCGTAATTGTGCATTCAGAGATACCCTGTTTCTTCACAGATCGTTTTCACCAAATGCAGAGTTTTCATCCTTTAAATTCCGTCTGTGCCTATTGAATACACAGGCACTACTGGCATAAAATATGAAAGTACTCAGAATATGTTCTTGAGTAGCGAAAAAGATGAGAGACATAAACACCCTATGAAGGTGATAGCGGAATATCACTGCATAGATAAGAAAATTTGACAATAGAAATGCTTGTCTTCTTTTCATACAGTCATCTCATGTAGATTTTTTAAAAACACGGCAACTATTAAATGAGCACAATAAGTGGCCATCGCAGGAAAGCGGCAGTTTTTTATTTCCACAGGAAAGGCAGAGTAAGAGCTCATTATCATAATCGGAAAATAACGGGAAAATTCGTTGAAAATTCAGTGTGTGATAATTATGTAATAATTCGTATTAAAAACGAAAATCGGCATTTACCATAATAATGAATTGTATTTGCTGACAAGGTCATTGTATCGATCATAGAACTTAAAATGATGACTTTAAACGAGACTGTTGATATTCTTGTTGCTCTAACTTGCCTGTCGTTAAACTACTTCGTTTTAGAAATTTAAGTCATACATATCCTTCGCAATGAAACGGCAAGAATGACCGATGTGTAGTAGAGAAAATATGTCACCTTTGTTTATGTGTAGATGCACCCTGTGTTTGAGTAACATCAGATTAGAAGGTGAAAAAAGTATATTAAGCTATAAATTACAGAAGAAATTAAAATTATTTTTATATTCATCACTCTGGTGTATGCATTTTTTTTTAATAAATGGTTTGAAAATGTTTTTATTAATTCATTTTATTTTATTTATTTGAATTCCTAAAGATCATGACATTAAAATTTTGCTACCTCTATTGTCTTTTATTTAGTATTATGTAGAATGGATGGAAATGTTTCGATTTTATTAAATTTACTTAATCATTTCAGCTTTAGATAATCACGCAATAATCACGTATTGTACGCATTTCAAAAGTCCAAAGATCAAATCAAGTGTGTGACCACCAGGAAATATTTCTAGGAAGGATTTGATGTATTTTTGGAGTGTATCCTTTTCGTATAAGGTTTATATAGCTTTTGAAAAAAAAATCACAAAAGCTGAATGGACTACATATATTTATTGTTTGTGACATATTTTTCATGCTCAATTTCATTAACATCGACTTCAGACACAAACATTTGTAAGGATTCGTAAGTATTATTTAAAACGAAACAATTTGATTAGACTTTTTCATGTTTTCTAAATTTTCCAAAGCAATGAATTTTTATTGCATACTAGTAACTCTAATTAAGAAACATACTATAAAAAATGTTTACAAACAATGTTAATGAAAATTTTATTCAGTGGAGGGAATCGTCTATTTTGTTTAAAAATTCATTTATGGAGCAGTCAAATTTGTCATATTCAACATGTCTCATCAGTTTAAAAAAATTGCAAATATAGACTTAAAGACCCCCTTTTTTACTGAACGGTTACCTGGGGAGTGGTTTCAGTAACAACTGTTTACGTAAAGCATTACACAGGAAGTCTGTTTAAGGTAACCAAGGTTAACATCATGTGTTTTATGTCTAATTTTGAGTAAGACTTCTTATAATAATGAAAATATTTACTATAAAACTTTTTTGTAATATAATCACTGATATCTTTTGAAGAAGAAAAAATTATTAAGATAACGTTTTTTTTTTTTTTTTTTTTTTTTTAAATGTAAATTAAAGAAAAGATCACACAAGGTCAAACTGCATGAAAAGCAATCGTATGATTCATATATTTTTTAAAATAACAGTCTTGTGAATATGGAAATAAAGATATGATTGATTGATTGATTGTATATTGTTTAACGTCCCTCTCGAGAATTTGTCACTCAGATGGAGACTTCACCGTATGCCGGTGAAGGGCTTAAAATTTTGACCTTTACTCGGACTCAGGGCCATTGAACAGTGAGGGATCTTTATCGTGCCAGCGCCTGTCGCTGACACGGGCCTCGGTTTTTAAGGTCTCATCCTAAGGACCCGCAACTTTCACTTCAAAGTGCCGAGCACATGGCGAAGGAACAGTTGCTACCCATTTTAACGACTAGGTCGGTCGCGGCCGAGATACGATCTCACGACCTCCCGATCACAGAGATAGCGCTCTATCGACTGAGCTACCGTGAACGGTAAATAAAGATATGAAACAATTTATGTATTCCATTTAGGCCTATCTGTCGTGTGAACATTTACCGCAATCAGAATTTTTTTGTTCTGGCCAACAAAAGTGTCCAAAATACATGTATTCATAATTTTCCAGTGTGCGTGTGTTTACAAAATTGTTAAAGTTTTGCAAAATTTCTTCTTTTTCTATCTAGCATTGTTCGTTGTCTTAACCTTTCATTAGGAAAAGAGACAGACATTAGTGGAAATTCGAACAAATGGGCCTAACTTACAATCTCGAAACTCGCGTATTCGAGCAATAATTCCTACCATTTCTTTGCAACATGGTGTAGATTGTATCTATATAATTATACAATGATAAAACATATCGCTTGCAAGTACCATACTGTCGTGCAGATTGAAAACAAGTATTTTGCGAAGTCAATGTTTTATTCATCTACTTTCAATTATTTTTTGTAATATACTCACCGTCAATAGAAACGCAACACCTTTATTTTAGCCTGAAAATTATATACAGGTTATAACTATGTACCAAAAAAAGTTAGGACATCTTTTACTTTGCTAAATCAGTTATTTAACGGTTGAATGAATTTCTTTCCATCACCGGAAGTTGCGTTTTAGCCCTCTTAACAGAATTCAAAATTTTTCATTTTTGATAAAATTTTAACAATATTTTGAGTTTCCAAGGTTTTGAAACTGTTAATCATAAGTATTGTACTAAAAGGCCAAGAAAAAAAATTATTCTTTCTTTACCGGATGTGATGCCTATATTTCCTCAAAATGACTGATAGCAAGAAGGGGGGATGTTTTAAGAGTTATGTGTTACCTTCTAAAGTTTAATGATAACATTAAAAATGAATATATTTAGGTAAAAAGTAAATTTACAAAAAAATAATGCTACATTCAAACATTAAATGTTATTTTTAGACCTTAGAAAGAAACAAAAACCCAGTAAATCTTAAAACATCCCCCCTTCCGACCATTTAATGAAAACGTGCTATTCCGTCACATACAACAAATGCAGCCCGATTTCTACTATGCATTAAGTTTATTAATGTCTTAATCTGAGCGAAATTAATATTCTTGGGCATTTTTAAATATATGATTTTCAGATTTTGCGGTCAAATTTTCTCTAACCTGGCGTAGTGTAGCAACTTTTGGACTTCCGGTCAAGAAACTGTCATTTATGCTATTGAAACACATGAGCCTAATGAGTCGTGATATAGAGTACATTTGCATCTGCAGCTCTTTTCTTCTTTATTTTGAGAATTTCCAGCATTAGCAATGAAATCAGTCATTTTGAGGAAATAAAAGCATCACATCCGGTAAAGAAAGAAGGGTTTTTTTTTCCGGCCTTTTAGTACAATACTTATGATTAACAGCTACAAAACCTTGAAAACCGAAAATATTGTTTAAAATTTCATAAAAAAATGCAAAATTTTGAATTCTGTTAAAGGGCTTAAAAGCAACTTCCGGTAAAGGAAAGAAATTTATTCAACCGTTAAATAACTGAATTGGCAAAGTAAAAGATGTCCTAACTTTTTTGGTAATAGTTATAACCTGTATTCAATTTTCACCCTAAAATTAGGGTGTTGCGTTTCTATTGACGGTAAGTATATAACTACCAGCACCACTGGGATTTTTTAGCCAGCGTGTACACAAGGCGGGTACATGAAAGTGTTTGACGTGTGACCAGTAGGTATCTGGCCTGTCAATCAAATAAGAAGTTATTGGGGTTTTTTAACGATTGGCAGGCGGTAAATTATTGATATTGAATAGGGTAGATTTGGGGGGGGGGGGGCGTTAACATAAAATTTGGTGTTTAAGGTAGGATTCTTCTCATATTTCTTGTATTTAAAAATTAATGAAATTTTCACAGAATCAAGAGGACAATATCACTAAGTGATGGTATCAGTGAGATTAAATTTGACCGTTTTATATTAGAGGCAAGGTTAGGTCAAGGTCATTACCTTTTTCCTGGACATAAAGAATAAAAAATTACTGTTTCCAAATATGCGATCTCTTCTTGTAATTCAAAGGATTGAATGTTTTTCTTTTTGCATAAAAAGATACTACCATATAGGGCCTATAAGATGATATTACCGAATTGACATGGATAATTTAAATAAAATGGATATTTGCTAATCCGAATTTCCTCTACTTTTCTTACATTTTTAGAATTTATTAGTTATTTTTATATGCTTCCTATATTTAGCTTTTTCTAATTTTCACATATAGTAAAGTTGTCACTTAAAGGTACAAAATGATACAAAAACTAAAAGTTTTGATCGTTTACTAAGAGAGAAATAACACTTTTTACGGATTTTTTGCTCAAATCTGTACTTAGATTTGAAGCAATTAAAAGCCAACATAGTTCTAGTATGTGTGAAAAATCTTATTTATTTAATATATTTTGAAACTTTAGTCCCTTATTATTAATTTAACTTACATTTGAAAATTTCGTCTAGTCTTTGATTGCGTAAAAATTATAACTAAATTCAATGTTCTATAATAATTTTGAGAGGTAGAAAATAAGATATCTTCATACGCCACCATTCCGCCAAAAATATAGTCCCTGCTAGTTTTCAAACACTGTTTATCATTTCTATTTAAAATTGTAAAATTGTGATGAGGAAAGAAAAATATGGTCTTTTAAATCTCTTACATCTAAATATATAAGACCTATCAACAAATATACTTTGAATATTCCATCTAGTCAGAAACCAGAGAAGAATCCTACCTTAAATGAAATATGTTATTTATTTCAACAATTTTACCAAAATTACAGAAATGGAACACAAAGTTGTTGTCAAGACTACAAGAATATTTCAGGAAAGTGCACAGGTATCTTTTCTTTAACACTTATTTCCTTGCTACGCGTGGCTCATACTGAAAGCTTACTTACTTTGCTTTTTTATAATTAATTTTTTTAATCCACAGCTTGCATTGGTTCTTATGGTCAGGATTGTTCAAATCCATGTACGTATGGATACTACGGCCATGGGTGTCGTGATCGGTGTGACTGCAGTGAAAATCAGATATGTGATAAAAGAAGAGGTTGTTTGGTTTTGCATGATGATTATTTTAAAAGTAATTTTTTTTTAAATTTTTAAATGTGTATTTTTAAATACTTAATGCAAGTAAATTCATCCATTTGTATTATTTTAGTCAATTCTTGCCTTTATCGCTGATTATCGTGGATGAATATTAAAAGGGGATTCAAAGAACACAGTGTAATTTCTTTAATAGATCTTTGAGTGGGCTAATTCAAAACGTTTCTATTTCACAAAGGGAGAAAGTAATCCTGTATTCTGTATGCGTCATTTTTTATCAGAGAAATGGATATTTCTACTGCGTATTTTGCATTTCAAAGTCATGGGCTGATCCACTTATACACCCCTACCTTATACACGTCCTCGCACAGACACACACACCTTCATCTTCACAAGCATCCTTTCATTCCTTCACACACATAAACAGATAACTACATCAAATTTCCTAAATACGTCAAACAAATCGCAAAACGAAAAATGAAGAAAATTAAACAATAAAGAAAAAAGTAAATACAAACGCACTCAGAGCTACAATTCAATTTTAATTGAAATACATCCTCTCAACTAAAAGGTGGCATGAAGAAAATAGAAATGATTGCTACACAAAGTTACCAACAAGTTAAGAAAACAATTGCAAAGTTCAAACACATAGGTTATTCACGTGCGTTTTGACAATGCAACCATTATTTCGATTTTAACTATGTTTAATTAAGTTATGTAAGCACTTGGAACAACTACAACTCATGTAATTTCGATAGTGTTGGAAATTTTTTCAGTACACAGTGTATTAATGTAAGTGTGATGGGAATTTTTAACCATACACAGAGCCGTAAGCGTAGTCATGGGCATCTGTCGCACAATAAACCTGCAATACACGTCTCTTTTCATTCATTACTACCTTATGTAAATAAAGAGTTAAGTCATACTCGCACCAAACTTTACTCTGTCCCTTTGAAACTTTTACATAGTCTATTTGAAAAGGCCAAGGAAAGTCCAATTTTTGATTTTTCGACACCAGAATATAGGCTCGGATCTGTGATTATGGATATTGCAAATCATAGGCTTTTTAAACCCGCACGTTTTACAGAAGAAAATGAAGCTAAAACAAACCGTCTTTTCCTTAAACTTCAATATGCCAATAAAGGAATTGACGTGGTTAATGTAAGTAATATTGTTAATCACGAAAGGATCCAGTCTTTTATTCCACCAAATTTCAAGTTAAAGACTACACCTTGTATTTCCTACAAATATACATCGACTATTGCTTCCAAACTTTTCAATTACAAAAAAAACTTTACATGGCATGGATACAGAGTATCTGAAACAAAATCCTCCATCGTGTTCATGTTTTTCTTCGCCCTATAACTATACTCCTGCTGGACACGTTATTACAGGTGACGTAAATATATTCAAGATCACTTATTTTAAAAGGTCCTAAATATAGGGAATCCCGATCCTTCAAATGGCGTCTGAATTTCAAAAATATTATGGATTCTGTTGAAATTACGCCAGACGATGGGCAAGATCGAAAAAGAGAACGTTGACACCTTGTCAGAATGGATTAAATGTATCAGATCCATGTTTAAGTCGCGCATGAAAAGATTGAGGGGCAATATGAAAACCATCTATCTTTCTGTGTTCAATAATCCAGAAGTGAAAAAAGAATTAGATAGATTGCATGATCAATACGTACTGGTCCATTCCGACAGAACAGGTATACAGCATTGTCTTCGTTTGTATGGCTCATTATTTAAATTGTATTTTAGAAGAACTTGTATTTAATTCTACAAATGGTAATCCTACTTTTACTCATACTTCCCTTTCTAAGGAAGAAATTCCTCAAAATCATATGTCTTTTTTAAATATTTTTAATATTCCACAGAGCCAAAATTAATTTTAACTACCCTATATATATTGGATTCCGAAACTTCCAAAGAATCCTTACATAGATACATTGTGGGTTCCAGTAAATGTTCAACCAAGCCTCTTTCGTTACTCCTTACTAAGATATTGACAGAAGTGAAGGAAAAACTTCACGAGTACTGTGCAACAATATATTAAAGAAGTGGTGTGAATCAGATGTGAATACTCAAAAATTCTAAAGAACTTCTGGACAATTTGAAATAAAAAGATTTCACCAAAATCAACAGCTTAAAAACGTACGACCTTTAAACTTTATATACAACCAATCCCCACGATAAATTAAAGTCCAGGCTTTTTGATATCATTGAAAGCTGCTTTATCAATAAGAATTGAACTCAAAAATTTACTTATCTGGTCATAGGTCATTTGTAAAATTATTTTGTTAAACACTTTCTGACTGCACACATAAGTACTCTGAAGTTGACATCAAAGAGATGCTCGAGTTTCTGATGGAAAAGTTCTATGTCTATTGGAATTCCAATGGGTACCAATATCCATTATAACAATATCCATTATAACAATATATGTCCCGTTATTAGCAGACCTATTTTTATATTCATTTGAAGTAGAATTTGTGCAGAATCTTACGCGTGAAGAAAAAAAAAACACGTGCTGTGACCTTAATCTCCACAATAAGATATATCAACGACATACTGTCAATTCACAATGAGAATTTTTTTTCCTATCTCGATACGATATATCTTGGTAAACTTGAGATAAAAGATACCATAGACTCTGACACAACTGTTTCACACTAGGATATTTTACTTGAAAAGGACGTTAATGGTAATCTTACAACCAAGCTATATGATAAACGTAATGACTTTAACTTCTCCATTGTCAATTTCCCTTACTTATGCAGCAATATACCTTCATCACCTACATACGGAGTTTATATCTTTCAGTTGATTCGATACGCAAGATCATGCTCTACGTATGAACAATTTCTAAAACGAGGTAAATTATTGACAAGCATGTTGAGGAAACAAGAATATCATCAATCTCATTTAAAGTCATCATTTTGTAAGTTCTATGGTCGATACAATGACCTCGTCAGCAAATACAATTAATCATTGAGTCAAATGCTGACTGACTTTTTCATACTAATTGTTAGTCCATTATTTATACACTGAATTGACAACGGATTTTTCCGTTATTTCCTGATCATGACAAGGAGCACACGGCGGGTGTGACCAGTCAGCAGGGTATGGTCACTCCTCCATGGCACCTGACCCCACCTCTGAAGTCCATGTTTGCTCTGCTCCTATTTTGTTTTGTTTATGGGCTTTGAGATTGAATACTGTTCGTTATCTCTATATCCTTCCCTTAGAAGGAATTTATTTTAAAAGGCAATAAGGGTTCAATAACTTAAAGAATTTGTAAGTTTTAAAAGGTGAAAAACCATTAAAGGTATATCAACTCAGCTATTAATTTTGAGTTCCTATTTTTTTCATTAAGATATAACTAAAGGTGATTATAAAAAATCCGAGGAAAGCAGCCACAGTTCACAATCCATAATAATAATTATTTGTGGTGTTCTTGCTCTTGTCCTCATCGCTTTGGGAATGATATGCTACCTCCGAAGTACATTGTGAGTATATTTAAATTATATATTTTATCATTAAAAATTAAATGGTTCCTTTAACTTCATTTTAATTTTATTCTATATATTAACATTTGTATCCAACTTTTAGGACGGAGAATGGATCAAATACCAATACTCATGTTACAGAATCTTCACCTTCAGGTATGTTTTTTTCCCTTATTTTCTTTAATTCAGATTGTATCAGAATAAGACTTTCCTCTCTTTTTCTCAGGAAATGCATGTTCGATGCAGCAGGAACAAGGCGAATGTATTTATAATGACGTACGCGAATCTCGAATGATTGAAAATACGAGAATGGTTCGACCAGAAAATGTCATTATGCAGAGCAGGTCAAAGATGATTGAGGCGTGCATGAGTGTACCGAAACAGCGCCGAGAAAAAGTCCAGGAATCAACTTCTAGCTCTCTAGACCTGGGATATTATGGAGGATGCTGTGATAACTACTCTCGATTACAACTTAAAAAGATGCGTACATGTACTTTGCCTTCTAAGTATTCTATTAATATGAATGACTATACTTTCACGAAACCGAATTTTCAATCTCTATCACATGAAGACATTTATGCTGAAAGGGAAAATTATAAAGAGGGTGAATATGCTAACCAATCATGTTTAGAAAATTCCACCATAAAAAGATCTGGCGTGACCCAGTCAAGGATCTTCCGGCCGTATAGCTCTGTGAAATACTATCGTAATGTTGCTCAAGAATAGATGATTTAAAGTCCATACCTAGACTTTGAACATTTAAATGCATTATTTTATATCCAAAAACCTGTATTTTTCAAAAAAAATTTAAATATAAGTAGAAAAGTATGTAATAAATTGAAAAACTCACAAAAACTTTCAAAGATCTTTTTACAGTGCAATTTTTTTTAGTTGTATTTTTTTTAAAAAATGTTTCATGTAAGAAGAAGGATATTGAGATAACGAACGGTATTCAATATCAGAGTCCATAAAACAATACAAAATAAGAGCAGAGCAAACACGGACCTCCGAAACATCAGAGGTAGGATCAGGTGCCATGGCAATCGCAACTTCTCGGGCCTTTCCGACTAGCGGAAAAACGACCTCGAATGTATATGGTAGAAGCCATGACAACCCTCCTTTTTCACGATCTTTGAAATAAATGCATAAAGACTTTTTATCTGTGGCATATGGAGTCTAAGGACGCTCTAAACACTGCACACTAAAGAGCTCTATTTATGGGGTAGTTTTATGCAGTTAGAGTGATCTGCCCTTAGAAGAAAGATTAAAGAAATTGCTATTTACCGTTAATTACATAATTTATAATAGATTTAAACGTTTTTAGCATTATATAAGACAAAGAGTAAGACAATTAATTAATTATTTTCATTAATGTTTCCAATGAAGTAAGCAACAATGATTTCTTCTCACAAATAGTCCATTGTCTTTGAACATTTCTCCTGCGCAAATAAGGCACGTACCCTATATTCTAAATGAATGAAGAAGTCTCAATATGCATATCTTTATACGACATATTTTTCTCAGAGTCAAAAAAAACCCAGTTTCTGTTAGTGTTTAGAGCTTCCTTAAATTTATTCAATGTAATGATATTACTTAGAATATACTATAGAAGAGACTTCTAAATCCGTCTATCCTATATTTGAATAAACATGAAGATGTATAAATTTTTAACATCCGGTGATGTTAATACATTCGAGGTTGTTTTTCCGACCTCTGACAGAAGACACGAGATGATGCAATTGCTGCCATGGAGGAGTGAGCATACCCTGCTGACCGGTCACACACACCTTGCCATGATCAGGAAATAACGGAAAAATCCGTCGTCAATTCAGTGCACATATAATGGATTAAAAATTGGTACGAAAAACGTCAGTCAGCATTTGACTCAATAATAAATTGTATTTGCTGACAAGTCATTCAATTGTATAGACCATAGAACTCACGAAATGATGACTTTAAACCAGACGGCTGATATTCTTGTTTCATGAACTTGCTTGTCAATAATTTACCCTCGTATAAGAAATTGTTCATACGTAGAGCAAGCTCTTGCGAATCGAATCAACTGAGATATATACACTCTGTATGCAGGTGATGAAGGTTTATTGCTGAATAAGTTAGGGAAGTTTACGATAGAAATGTTAAAGTCATCACGTTTATAACAGAGCTTGTTTATTAGATTACCATGAACGTCTTTTTTCAAGTAAAATATCCAAGTATGAACCAGATGTGTCAGACTCTGTGGTATCTTTTATCTCAAGCTCACCAGGATATATTGTATCGAAGTAGGAACGGAAATCACAATTGTTAATTGACAATGCGTCGTCGGTATATCTAAATGACGAGTTGAAGGCGTATTTCATTATTTTTCTTGTTTTCTCTATCACTTTAAATTGTGATTGGCAGCTTACCAGTGTGAATAAAGTACTTCAGAGAATCTGGATTGGAATTTTAAGATAGATAATGAAAAATATTTAATCCCAAAGTTTATTATACCAATTCAAATTAAACATCAGAAATGAGATCAGCTGCTTTTGAAGAGCGAGCATTCCCTGCTGACCGGTCACATCCGCCGAGTGATCATTGTCATAATCGGGCAAAACAGAAAAAATCTTTTAACAATTCGGTGTGTAAATATTTCTCTAACTCTTTGTATGTTAAACATCAGTCTGCATTAACCATACTAAGTAATTCTGCAATTAATTTCCAACTTTTATTCGTCGCCCACATGGTGCAGTGGTTAGAGAGTCTGCTCTAGAGTCGCAAAGTAAGGAGTTGATCCTTACGTCGCGGGTTTAAATCCCACTGTGGGAAGTAAAAACCATAAAAACCCGTGTTGCAGTAGCTTCTGGCACGCAAAAGATCCCTCCCTGCTCAATGGCCCTGAGTGCCGAGTATATGAAAAAA